GCTACCCGACAAGAATCCATTCTAATGTCGAGAGAAAGAATCCATTCCAATGGCTCTCAGAGATCCTTTTGCATGACTAGAGAAGAAAATTAAAGGACAGACTGAAAATTTAAACTTGTGGTAATGGCCATGCACTTTCGAGCCTGGATTGCTCTCAAATTTCAACCACAAGAATGTTTCTCTTGAGTATCATTCAGGATAAGGCATACTGACATTTGCTAACACAGAGATCTTCCCACGTGATGTTTCCGACATGTTTAACACATCGATCAATACTCTTAGCAAGGTTGCAGCTTTTAAGTCTAGTTCAGAGTTCCTTGGCATGTGGGAAAATCTAGAAAGTGAGCTAACCATTACAACCTTGTCTGTTTTTCACTACTTAACCTCGTTGAGTTGATCTTGTCATGCATACTTCCAAGCACCGAGTACCCCAAATTTCAGTAATGATGCGCTATAAAAGGTGAACGATAAATACATCCTGATGGTCCATAACTAACTAATCTTGTCTGATAGCTTGCCTGCTTGTCATTAGAAAAATTCAGACTGGTTAAGATCTTGCAACTATTATCGTGCACCATGATATTCCACGGTCTTTTGGCTTTTGATGAATAAAATCATTACTTAATCTGATTTTTTGCCTAAAATGTTACTTAATCTAATTAATCATCATAAACTTTGTCAAATTTCAATTTATTATAAGATACAGCCCCCAATTTTATGATCTTGAACTTAAGTCTCAGTTTTAAGTATATCTTACCACTGCATGAACCATTGTAATATTTACTAGTCTATGGAAAAATCATTAACAAGAAACAAGCTTTTCTGGTGAGTATGACAAGCCAGTGGTTCCGTGCATATCCTCTTAATTAAAAATGAGCATTTGACCTTATTGCAAAGATGCCAGAAAGGTGGAAGCCGGTTTCATGTCCTTTTCTAGATATTAGACATGTGTTCTTTTAATTTGACAACAGTTTAAATACAGAACTACTGGTCACAGATAAGAATGGTACCATTCCATTACAAGCCACCAATGTAATGCTAAAGCATCCCCCGTTGTCATGATTTGTTGTCACATCTTATTTTGTGGTAAGATATGACCTATGCATGAACCCGGACAGATTTAAGCCCGTTAAGCCCAAACAAGCCTCATTTCATTCATTTATTAAATATTCATAGTCTTGTGTGGGAGCATACATTCAATAATTCATGCACGTACATTGTAATCACATACATGTAATCATAGGCAACATTGCATTATTATAGAATTTCATAATATAAACAATGTAAGTGCAATAATCTCATACATCATTAGATTGCCATAATCCCATGCATAGTATCTTATAAACATTTATCAACACCCTAAATATCCATGTAGGCTCTCGAGCCACCTTTATATATTTATCCATAACATTCATGAAGTAATTGCCAATCATTAGCTACAGCATCATAAACATGCTCATAATATAAAAACATAACATAAAGTAAAGATTGACTTGTCAGTAGCACATGATTGACCCTTTAGGCATAATGACTACTAGACACTTACCAAAGGCAAAAAACCGAAAACTTGTATCTGTGACTCGAGTAGTAAACTAATCACTAATCTACAAAACATAAATGGGAAAAACAACGTGTGAATCAACAAAACTTTTTGAGTGGATACGAGGAAGGCGAAAAGCCAAGAGGGAGAGTTTTTCATAGCCATGCACAGCTTGTAATCACTTGCCGTTCACAAACCTTTCAAGATTTCCATATAGTTCATGAAACATGGTATTTAAATACATTTTAAATAACATTGCATGGAAAACAAGTTTCTAAAATTCTTAGAAAATCATTTGCCTTTGAAAAATCCTTGAAACACACATAAAAACTCATATTTGTCAAGCATTTATCAATAGATAAAGGGAATCTATTGATAGATGGAACATAGAATACTTCTTGTAGAATCTACCTTCTATCTATTGATAGATGGCTTTCAAGTATCGATAGATCAATCCTATAACGCACTTTTCTAAGTAAAATTCTACACACAATCATTCCATATGTCTTTTTATCTTATGGGACTATTCCCTAGGTTAAGGTTTTATCTAACCAAGCGATTATCACCACAATCCAATGTGAACAAATCAATAATCATTCACTCACAATCTAAACATTCAAACATGAAACACATCAATAATACTTGTTCAATCATAACTTAGGCTCATAAACCTCATTCATCATAACATTTCTAACTGAGTGGATCTATCCCATTTTGGCAAATAGTGGGTTTCCTAGCACACTGTGTGATTGTGGTCCCACCTTACTCAAAAGGACAATGGACAAAGTCCTTATTACCATCTGGTTCACCTCATATGAATGATCAGCATAACTGTGTGAGTGGCACATCAACATTATCCACAATCTTCAAGTGGTCCAACCCAAGAGAATAATGATCGATCCCAACTAATGTCATAAGATTTCTTAAGCTTAAGATAGTTCCTATCCTTAGCTAAAATCATAAACATGTAACATTTTCATTAACCATCATCATGCTCAACCCATAGTGTATATAATTATCTCAAGACATACATCTCATGGCATGCATTTCATAATCTAGTAAATCATTCACATACTTAGCCCATAGTATACATGATATTCTCAACACATACAACTCATGGCATCTATGTCATAATCTCATAAATGAAACTCATGCATCTATCAAACCTTTCATACTACATCATGTTTATCATTGCAAATCATATCATCCATCTTAACATTAAATGCATATTGATTCACCCACACTAGCCCATAAGCCAGAGTGATCAAATGAGATTTGAATAAAATCATTAAACGGGTTTATCTCCCCTTTGTTGAAAATTAATACATAGTAGGATATTTTTACTTACATAGAACATTCGTAAACACTTTTAAAACATTTGCGTTCAATCATCTAAAAGGGATATAGTTTCAAATCAAATTTAGAAATCACTTGCATTTAAATCCTTTGAAATCTTTTATTCAAAGCCAATTGAAATCCCTTGCATTCAATCATTTGAAAGACATCATCAAATAATGCTTCTTCATGCATCACTAAATCATCGCATTAAAAATCATACTTCTTTATAATATTAAAATACTTGAAGAGATGTATCCGTTCACCTAATTAGAGATTCAACCTTTAACTCTAATCACAATCTTTCTTTGGTGATTTTCTCAGAGGTTTCAACCATTCCTAAGATTCAACAATCATAACAATCAATATCTAGATTTAAAATTTCATAATACCTATTCTAAGCATTTTCAAAACTAGTCAGATTCATCTAAAACTAATTCTCTAGCTTAAATCCATTGCTACCTAGCATAATAAATGTTTAAGAGCCCATAAATCCTTTTGTCGTAACATGTAGGTCTGAAAACCTAACCGCTAGATGTAGAAAGTTTAGGAGTCGTTACCAATTTTTTTTATCTAGGTGCAATTGGCCACCTACTAAATTTTTCTATTCGACGGAGTCCTAAATTGATTTTAGGTCCGTCTAAAGAATAATAAACTGGTCTATAAATTTTTAGAGTTTGGTTCAGAAGTACGATTACGTAGGAGAAAGGATTAGTACCCTCGTGATGCCCGTTCCATGAATGGTAGCATTTAATCATATGTTATCCTACTATAGCCTAAACCATTGATTCTATTCTTATATTTTCTTAATTAGTATTTATTTAGTTTATTTTTTATTTTATTAACAAATTAAAACATTTTATTCGGTGTTGCGAGTGTGACGTGCATATGATGCAATTATAAAATGCATGGCATAAAATCTAGATAATGCCAAATGAAAGCCTTTTATTGATGATATTTCTCGAATTCGGCCATCATTCTGGTGTGATCTGAGAATATTCTCTCACTTAGAGAATTATCCGAAAAACTCACCTTCGCAAGTTTAACGAATAAATTTCCTCATCAAGATAGTTGTTCGCAAGTAAATGCAATATTTTAATGAATGCAATCCTTAACATGATCGAAAGTCTTTTATTAAGGACATTCTCTGAGCCCTTCCATCATACTGGTAGGACCCAAAAGTATCCTTTCACCTAGGAAATTTTTGAAAGGAACTCGCCTTCGCAAGCTTCTTCGAAAAATCCCATCATCGGAGCTTAGACTCACACACGTAAGGTCTATATGCCATGACATTTAAATGCGATGATAATGCATGACGTACTACCAACTCTTATGTCCACTATTGATTATTCTCGATATTTATTATTATTATAATCTTACTATCTTTAAAAATTCTATTATCATTATTTATTTATTTATTATCTTGAAATCTTTATTTTATATAATCTTATATTTTAAAACTACATACTTTATATATTCCCTCTTGTATTTGTTATTATTTATATTTTCATTATTTTTTGTTTCCTTTGTTTTTATATTTTGTTTGGTTAGTAATTAGGTTAATAGGTTTTTCATTTACTTAGAATTGCAAATATCAGGATTCAAAGTTAAGACCCTCCCATCATACTGGTGAGATCTTAATCGAAATCCTTTATCTAAAAAAGTTCATTTGGAATTATGACTTCTCGTGCTTTAAATGAACATTTTATCATCAGTACAATAATGTACTATTCCTATAATTATTAATATTGAAGTATTTTTAGACTAGACTTATATACTGCCCTAACTATTAATGTTGATCCCAAATATACATTTTGTTATTATTTTTTTAGTACTTGGATATAAATGTCTACTTTCTACCTACATCTATTTTTTATAATCAAGTATTCCACCCTATTATTACATACATGTATATTTTACTTAATCTTCCTTTCTATGAATAAATACCTTTTCT